TAGATTAAAAACAGCGATCAAATAAGAAATTATAAATAATTAATATGCGCTCGAATAAAATAGCTACATTTTACTTTTTTGGTATAAAAACTTGCGCACGGAACTATAAAGATGTTCCGTTCCATAATAACACATCTCTGTAGATCAATTGTGAGATACCCGAATGACACCATGTTTTCTGTCGTTACTGGACAGAATTTTCTCAGCGTTTTGTGTAGCTAAACATTTTTGTCATTTTCCTTTACCTCTGTGTGTATTAACAGATTTTCCGGGGTGCGATAAGCTTTAAAACCCTTCAACATGTAGCGGCTTTTTGAGTTACAAAAATCTCTATCCAACACCTCATCCAGTACTCTGGAACTTTCTTGGCTTGTTTTTACTTATACGTCTCACAAATATGGGAAGCAATTCATGTGTTTCTAGAGCAATATACAAAGTCATACAATATATTAAAAATGTCATGGAATTTTTATAAAATATTTTGGTGACGTATTATCCCGGGATTTGATTTGCAGCTTCAAAATTCGTATAGGTAATCTACTTTATAATACTAATACACTCTGAAATCTAAAGAGTCATATATCACTACTATAGAGGAACAAATAAAACTAAAATGGCAATGTTGGATAAAAAAAAATAAATAAAATGAAATTCTTGCCCTGAATATAAACATTTCCTTTAAAAAGAATTATCGTAAAAGTGAATAGGATTATCATTAGAATTACAGTGCTCTTATGTTTATTGATTTTATAAATAAATAAATAAATAAATAAATAAATAAATAAATAAATAAATAAATAAATAAATAAATAAATAAATAAGATTATTTGAGAAATGTCCGGAAAAAGTTATTCAACAAAGTACACATACATTTTTATTTGACGTTTTGGTTTTTCATTTCAGTCAGTTTGGAAGTATATAAGAAATTTAGAATATTCCCCAGATTATGAGGACGCTGCAGACAATGTGATACAAAATCAGAAAGTCCCTTGTTTCATCTCGAAGGTTCCTGTAGTTACCGCGGTGCTTCAGCTCGGCTTTTCAGACATTTATAAACGTAGTCAGCGGGTCAAATCCGCGGTAAAAACCGCTTGCAGGAACCCACTTCCGCTCAAAGCGGGTCGCCCGCTTGCGACACATACTCAGCTGAAACATCGCAGGAATAAAAAGAGGCATCACTCTGAAGGGATTTACTGATGACGCAATCTCCCGGGGAGCTAGCGAACCAGAGTAAGTCATCTTCCTTAAATAAACGATCTTTGGCCTGAACAAGGCTCATTCCACTTCCTACGTGTTGCTACGGCAACTCAAAACAATAATACAGCTAAACCCAGCTCCGTTAAAAACGCTGCTTGAAAACCTGGATTAGAATTAGTTTTTTCTTTCGTTGGCTCCAGTGACTACACATTTTAGGAAATAGTCTTTAAAATAACGTAGTTTTTTTTTTAAAATTCTTTTTGACATAATGAGTCATCGACTGATTATTCAAGGTGAGATCCGTGGGTGGTTTTTACTTCACATTGACCCAAGCATAGCTTGAAGGTGATTAGACCGACTCCCTGTTTATTTTGTGCTCTGTAGTTTTTGAGCAGTACCAGAAGTCCAGGTTGCAGTTTGTGCAAACCGTTGCTGATTTGGCGACCAGACCACAAAACTCTGAAATCCTCCATAATGCAGGTAGGACACAGAAATACAGCAATATTATCATCTGTCACGGATTCCAGTGTTAATTTCCATCCATAAAATAAATAGTTATATTTTAACCAATAAAATCCCCCCAAAAATCCCATGCCATGTATCTCGAAATATTCAAATAAACATTTCTATGTATCAAAGTTTAGCTGCTAAAACGAATTGGCTGAATTCATCATTCATTTTTTAAATTGTAGTTTATTCAAATTCAAAACTACTTTATTGATCCCAAAGGGAAATTAAATAAAATCAACCAATTAAAGGCAATTTTGCTCATTTAAATGAATCAAACTACCACCCCCATCAACCCCCCCCACCCAAAAAAAAAAACATAAAAATGTGATTAAAGCATAAAACATTGCAGAAATAGTATGTAATAAATTTCTGAAATCTGTTTTAACAAGGTGGCAAACAAATCCTTTTCCTGGCAATCAGAACTGAAGGTCCTCCTCAGTTAGGCTCAGCTTAAGTTTGAGCACTGTTGCTAAACTAAATTAAAGTTCTCATTCCAGAACTTAAGTTTCTCAGTCACAACTCTTGTAATAAATCTTTATATATACTATGTTTATGTTTTAATTCATATTATAGCCCATGGAAACAACCCATATAACATATTACATGTTACGTTTCCCCCCCCTTGCAGTTTTTTTACATTTAATTGTCGCTGAATATTTTATTTACAAGACACTTCTCTTTAATGAAATTACGTTTGTTTTAATATGACCATAAAAATAAATTTTTATAGTGTGTCCTCCGCTCTTCTGCAGGAGTGATGCCCATGCTCAGGTCCCTGATGCTGGACACGGTCCCGAGCATCCAGCAGACGGCAGCTTTGGCTCTGGGTCGCCTGGCGGACCAAAGTGACAATCTGGCAGAAGCTGTGGTGAAAGAGGACATCCTGCCCCAGCTGGTCCATTCTCTGGCCTCGCAAAACGTTAGCATCTCTGCTCCTGGATTCATTCCTTAGTGCTAACTTCTTATAATATCAGCTTTGGAAGAGTGTAAAGAGCAAAAACGTAGTCAGATTCTGGATGACACTCTGCAGGAGTTGTAAAGTCGGGGTCTAAACCTCTGAATTTGATCATGTTGAGCTTTTTTTTTTTTTTTGGCAAATTGCCCTGGGGGCTACTTCAAAACCTCAGCGCTCTTCACCAGGAGAGCAGCGAGCTCTTTGTCTTCTCAAGGAGTTGGCTTATAGAGGCCACATTTTCTTCTTGTTTTCAAAAGGCGAGTGAAGCTCGATGTTTTAAACCCAAAATGTTACATTTAAGCTTCTAAGCTCAAACTGACTCAGGAGTGGGAAAGAAAATCACTCAAACATACTGCAATTTTTTAAAAGTGACTCATTCCTTTTTAATTTCACACACAGTCCTGTTCAAGTTTATTTGGTTTACAGCAACAATACTCAACAACTGTGATCTCAAAGTATGCCACCAGCCAGATTTAGTTTCAGTTTCATATCCAATCACACGCAGGGAGTCGAGTGAAATTACAAGACATTCAAATTCAGTTTTCCTGTTGATGCCAGTTGCTAAAGTGTTACAAGGATTTGCTCAATATCATCAGAAATAATGAAAGCAGAAATGATGTATACAATAAACATAGTTTAGTTTTTATTTCAGTGACATAATTAAATAATGACATATCAGAATACAATTAAAAAGTAACATGAAGTAGAACCCGTCTCTTAAATGAGTAAAAGAAAAAAAAGAAGCTATTTCAAGGGTAAACTTAACTGGTTAAATAGATTGTTTACTTTAAAAAAAAAAAAAAAAAGAAGTCCAAATTGATTCTAATAAAAAAAAGTTCCTCTCTTATCTCAGCAGTTGATGTGTGCACTTTTTCTGCGTTTTTGTGTGCAGAGGTTTTATAAGAAGGCAGCAGCGTTTGTTTTGCGCGCCGTGTCCAAACACTCTCCTGACCTGGCCCAGGCAGTAGTGAGCTGCGGGGGGGTCGACGCTCTGGTTCTCTGCCTGGAGGAGTTTGACCCCGGGGTGAAGGAGGCCGCCGCCTGGGCTCTGGGCTGCATCGCACGACACAATGCATGTAGGCCTGGAGAGCTGCTCTGATTTACATCTGCTTTGTTTTTGTGACGGTGGAGGCAGTGATTTGTTCTTATATTAGATTTCGGAAACGCTCATTTGGATCGCTTTTGTTTGTTTTTTTAAAGGAACTCTAAACAGAAAAAAAAAACTGGTTTATCAATATCCCATTTTTGTGTCCACAACCTCTCCGTGTCACCATGCAGCTCTGTCCCAGGCGGTGGTGGAAGCAGGAGCGACCCCCCTGCTGGTGTTGTGTCTCTTGGAGCCCGAGATGGCCCTCAAACGCATCGTGGCCTCCACGCTCAGCGACATCTGCAAGCACACGCCAGAGCTGGCCCAGACCGTGGTGGACAACGGCGCCATCGCACACCTGGCACAGATGATCCTCAGCCGGGACGCCAAGCTCAAGGTGAGCCTGCTGGCTGATGAAAGGGTTAGAAAAATCAAAACACTGAGAAACCGTGTCTTAGTAACAAGACATCATATATTAAAAAAATATAACAATGCAGATTAATTTAAATACAAATTTATTTGAAATTGAATAGACATTTTCTGTGCCAAAAAAAAAGCCAATTTGAAAATTTCCTGTCATTAAAAAAAAAAAAAAAATCTCCAAATATAATAATCAGCAATAATCTCTTAATTATGTCATGAAATCATTTATCATAAAAATTGTAATTAAGAAGAAGTGAATTCAATTTTATCATTAAATTAAATGTAGGCATTGTTGTTTATATTTGAAAAAGTGAAGTGGCACTTTTGAAAAATATACCGTATATTATCATTTAAAGGATAAGTTGTTGTTGAACATAAAATATATTTTTATTTTAATTTAATTTATACATATGTGTGTATGTATATGCTTAGAGATTCTTAGCATTATGAAATAAAAAGTCACTTTTCTTTTGTGGTTTGGGACAATCAAAAAATCTATAAAAATCCAAAATATGATTTTAAAAAATATAAAAACATCTATTTTGGGGGGATTCAAGTTTTTATTCTTAATCATTTTAATCAAACTCAGAGTAACCTTTACAGATATGCAGAAAAAAAACTCAGTTTGAAATAAGCTTAATGTTTCAATGCAGCATCGACGTTAAAACCCAAATATTTTAACGTCGATGCTGCAGTTTTCCAGAGAGAAACGATGTCTGAGCTTCAAAACCGCCAGTTTTCTCTGAAGCTTTTCTGGGGTCTGGTTGTCTCCATTCAGAGGCAGGTGTTCTCCGCCCTCAGCCAAATCAGCAAACACTCCATCAGCCTGGCCGAGATGGTGATCGAGGCCGAGGTCTTCCCCGCCGCCTTCGTCTCCCTCAAAGATCCGGATGATTACGTCAGGAAGAACGTTGCGACCCTGATGAGGGAGGTGGCAAAACAAACGCCTGAGGTACTGCACGCTCACGCTTCCAGGTCACCAAGAAGGTGGACTCACTGAATGAAGTGTGTGTGTGTGTGTGTGTTTTTTTTTCTGCAGCTGTCCCAGCTGATTGTGAACTGCGGTGGGCTGTCAAAGGTGATCGACTACCTGGGAGAGAGCCATGGACAGCTGCGGCTCCCGGGGATCATGATGCTGGGATACGTGGCTGCTCACAATGAAAGCCTCGCCATGGCCGTCATTCTCTGTAAGGTGGGATCATCTTCTGTTGTAACGCGGATATTAAAACCATAAATACATGCTCTGCATGTGCAGAGACATTCAAAAGTGGTAATAACCCTTGGCGTTTTTATTTTGAAACATAGCTTCAGTTTATTTTTCCTGACCACTTCACAGCAGTTCAGAACTTTCAATTATTTTTACTTTCATAACTAAAAATATGAAAAATGTGGCATGCACTCAACATAAAGTTCCAATAAAATAAACCGAGGTTTGTAGTTGCAATAAGGTGCAAGTTATCGATTAATGACGTCATCTAAGTTGAATTATGAGCAACCATTTTCTTAAAAACCTGAGTTTTCTCTTTTATCAAGAAGGCCAATCGTCCTTGCATAACATAAAGTGCTGCATTTTTTATAATATGATGAATTCTTAAAAATTCATCAGTAAGTTTTAACATTATTTTGTGTTATTATGTAAACATCAGATGTTTTGATAATAATGTGAGAAAATGTAGTTTTCTTACATTATCAAACTCACGACATATTTATAAAATGTAACAAAACAGGAATGCTGACATTGCAGAGTAGAAAAATAAAAGATGGAAATAATAAAATATGTGAAACACTTAGCTCCCCATGAACAGGAGAGATGTTCTGAAGAAATGTCAGAACTTTGACATTAAAAATCAACCCTGCTTATCGGCATCATGTTTTTTTTACCCATCATGTTACAATTTTTCTCCATTATCTCCTCCGCTTTTGTGTCATCACATCCTCGCCTCTTTAGCACGTCAATAATTTTTGGTTGAGAAGCTAACGCTGCTTTACCATGCAACTCAACTGAATGAGTGCTAATGACGTGAAACTTAAGGAGCTTGTCGAGTGTTTATATTTCAAAACAGAACCACATAAAGTGCATCTAGCATCCCAAACTGGACTCTCTTTCCCTTTCTTGTATGGCTCCGCCATCTTTATTCCTGTATCAACTGGCTCTGCTTAACGACAAGCAGTAATGTCTGCTGGATGGTGGCCTAATTGCAATGCTAAGAAGGTCTAAGCGGACATTATTAGTTATTAGTTAGAACTAATTTTAGTCTAACAAACCAATAATGAACAATTTATTGTAAGTAGGCTAATCTTTTGCGTCCCCAAGTTGTAAGCTTTACATAAAGTAGATTTTTAGAGGGTACTATGAATATTCTTTTATGAGATCGTAGGCCATAGTTCGCTGGACTCCTTCTGATGTGTGCCCTCCTGTCCTGCAGGGGGTGCCCCAGCTGGCCCTGTGCCTCTCAGAGGAGCATGAGCAGCACATCAAGTCAGCCACAGTGTGGTCAATAGATCAGATAGGTCATCACACCCCTGAGCATGCCAAGGTGGTGGCCTCAGCAAACCTGCTGCCCAAGCTGCTGGAGCTCTACATGGACGCCAGCAGCTCAGAGGATTTGCAGGCCAAGGTAGGAAGTGCAACGATAGTTCTGGTCGCCAATTCAGAACGAACACATGCAGTCGTGATATTTCAGGTCACTTTTGGCGCATCGTGTTGTAATCGGGATAAAGTCAAATTAAACAGGGTTTGTATGGGTGCTTGAAAATGCTTGAATTTCAATTATGTGTTTTCAAAGTTTTAAATGAGCATGGAAGTCCTTGAAAGTGTTTGATGTTCAAACTGCACAGTTTTGTAATAAAGTGGAATCTAACGTTTTATCAAACGGCTAAATTTTAAAACCTTGTTCACAGTCAAATCCAGGTATTTTCATGCACCTAATAGAAAGACAGATATTTTTTCCCTCCATGTCTGAAGTCAAATCAGACTAAGCTTCTCTTGTTTTGGGTCAGCTAGAATTGCCAAAATTATTTTACGCAAGACATAAATAATTTTTATATTTTACTTTACCTTGTCCCTGCTGTAGAATATCGAATGCAACCGCAAGACATACTAACAGTCAATAACTAATGTCATATAATAGTGAATAAAAATCATCTTTTAGTTCATTTTTATTGTTTTTACCTCTAGAAAACAGTGCTGGAAATGTTTGAAAACATACATTGAAAATGCCTGAATCTCGCTGTTGGAAACGCATAGGAACCCTGTTTAATGTTTCAGAGCAAGAAGGCGCTGAAGAACATCCTACAGAAGTGCACCCACGTCCCGGCTCTGGAGCCGCTGCTCTACGACGCTCCCAGCAACATCCTCAAACACGTCGTCTGCCAGTTCAGCAAGGTGGGGAGGGCATCTCCAAACGCTCCGATAAGTCTTTGCTTCTCGCGCGCTTGGCAACTGAAATAAAACGCGCGTTTCTCTGATTCTCAACAGGTGCTTCCCCATGACAGCAAGGCCCGTCGTTTGTTTGTGACCAGCGGCGGACTGAAGAAAGTCCAAGAGATTGACGCAGAGCCGGGCTCCGCTCTGCAGGAATACATCAACGCCATCAACAGCTGCTTCCCTGAGGAGATAGTCAGGTGCAGCTCTGATAACACGACCACCAGTGTGCCCATTTGGTTCAAACTAGACTCAGTTAAAAAAGCCAATGCCAGCGGAATCAGGATAGTTAAAAAAAAAAACAAAAAAACAACACAATATTGCCCGGTTCGTTTCTGATGCGTTTGTGGTTTTGCAGGTACTACTCACCAGGCTACTCTGAGATCCTGTTGCAGCGGTTAGAGGGCTACCAGCCGGAAGATTCACTTCACACTCCTCCACCTGAGGGACAGTAAACATTTTTGTGCCTTACAAATCTAAGTGGTTTTATTAAAAGATTCATTTGATAGTGCTAGCAATAATACCATCTTAAATTGCATCTTAAATAAAACATTTAAGATGCAATAAAAAGAGGATACTCATATTTCCACAGTATGTAGGTCAAAGGGTCAGATTCAGTGTCCAGGGCCAGATTTAAAAGAACGTTGGCCCTTGGGTTGGAGTCAGTTTTGGTTCCCTGTCCACTCAGGAGAAATTCTTATAGTTATGCAAATTACAGTACATTAATAGGTAATCCTGTAGATCAGCAGGTATTATTTAATGCATGGTAGGTTAACTACGTCCCCATCCAATAACTCCGTGTTGCTTCTAAAGAAATTGACTATAACTTCATAATTCTTCAAATACTTTCAGTATTGTTTATATTCATAAAATTATATATATATATATATATATATATATATATATATATATATATATATATATATATATACACAACTCACCCAATTAATTTTACAAAAGGAATTTTTTTTTTCAAAACAGGCAGTAATTAAAATAAATAAATAAAAACCTTTGTGCGCTTACAAATAAATGGGGCCCTGGGCTACTACCCCTGTTAGCTTTTTCTAAAGTCCGGCTCTGTCAGTGACGCAGTTACAGGTTGCTGAATTTTAGCTTCTTTTAATAACATTAGACTGACTAGTGCGTTTTTTTCCTAAGTGCTTTATATCAAAAGGAACGCTCTAAATAAACGATTCGTTTTTATTTTTCAACGCTTTAGAGACATTATTCAGAAAAGCAGCCGTACAAAGTGTAACCAAGCCTACCTGACTGAAAGAAGGCATCCTCAGTGGTCGCTCTGCCCCCTGGCGGCCCTGACTGCTCACTGCAGCTCGGTTGGGCTGTGAGCGTGCTCGTGCAGCAGCTGCGGCGCACATGGCGAGCGGCTCTTTGTTTATTGTCTGCAGGGGTGTCTGCGTGTTCTCCACATTGTACTCAGTTTTCCACAACCACCCACAGCACTGGACTGCCCCGCACTGCGCTGCGCTGCGGCGGAAATCTGCCGTCGAGGCAGCTGCCGCAGACAACGCCAACCATCCCGAATGTTATATTTCTACAAATAGAATATCTCCAACCTAAAGCTATACCGAGTGAAAGCAGCGTTCACAGCAATAATCGAGCTGAATTATAAAAATCAGTCGTTTCTGTGTTGAACACTCCAGGCTGCTGCTACGCAGAGAACCTCCTCCTGCGGTAGCGGCGACTCTCTCCTTCTCTCTCTCGCGTTATTTTTCCATTTTATTCACAATGGGAAGGAACACGTCAATAGCTTGTTCACGGCAAAACATATTTTGTTTTAAAAATGGTGGTAACTAATAGTCGTGACGGCGGCATATGAAGCGCTTATTTCAGCCATTTTTAATTAGTCTCAAATCTAAACCAAAAGGCGGAACTACAAGCGATTTCAACAAAGTAAATGACTATTTTATTACTAACAAGCTTTGGGAGCGGTGGAGCAAAAGTCGATAAAACATATGGTGGCCACCGATCGTTCGCAAACCTTTGGGGTGCGAACAAGGCGAATAATGTGTGAATAATAAATTATCAAATAAATATAGCTATGCTTAAGGTCGAACCCGTTAAATAGCCTTAATATTTACATTGCAGGCTCTTTTTTTAAGGCATCAACTTCACAGAGTCCTTAAAAAAAGGAATACATTTTAAATATTTTACATGTAGATTATATGCATGTACCCTTTAATTTTGCGTTTTAAAAAGATTTTTGGATATTTATGCAATTTATTAAGTTGGGGTTAGTTACTGCGCATGTTCGCTTCACCTTTATTTTAAAATGATCTCTATGGAAAAAAAAAATGCCTTCGTGTGGTCATTTTATTTTTTCTAGTCAACGCTTTTAATTTTCCAAATTAAAATGCAATGGATAATTTATGTAAATTATACAATTTAAAATAAAGAGCAAGTGAGTCACTATTTTTTGTTTCAAAAATTAAACGTTTTTTTTTTCATTATTTATTTAAGAGATCTATGGCATGCCATGTCTAATTTCAGTAAGTGTAGAAACAAAATATTGAGCTGAATGATTTTGCAGACTGTACAATGAATTTAAATCTTGAATATAAAAAGGAAAAGTTTATAAACTTTTCTATTCTATTTGTCAAAAGAAATGTGATATTCCACTTTTGTTCACGTTTGCTGGAATGTTTTTTTTTTCCCTTTGCCTCTTATTTATTTCTTTCCATTAAAAAAAATTTACTTTTTGCATTTTTTCTGCTTCACAATTTGAGAGAGTTTTGAGGATTGGTGACTTTCAGTAAATCAGCTTCAACAGACACAACATAGCTCAATGAGTTAGTAATTTTTGACTTTGCCTTGGAGGAAATTAAAAAAAGTAATTTCTTTTGTTCACTTTGAATTTTATGGTCACTTCAATTTTTCACCCCTGCTTTACTGAAAGCTTCACACATAACGGGGGGAAAAAAGAGGAAACAATCGAAATCAGTTAGGCAGAACAAGTGCTTTAATTATTTGGAGTGATTGCTTTTATGGAATGGAGTGTAATCGTTATTTAACCATGTATGAATAAACAATAAACACACAATTTCATCTTGTCCTGTCTGCCACGGAAAGGAAACACTCGGCAGACCGTAAAACACAGACATGCATACTCTCACACATACGCGTACAAGTAATGCTTAAAGCAACGCCCGGGGTCAGAGAGCATCACAGGCTGCTGAGACCGTAGCATGCTCTGCAGGGTCAGGTGGTGCATGCCAATTTAGAGCGCTCAGGGGAAACAAAAAACAAAACAAAAAAAAAACAACACAGTTTCCACCAAAAGAGCTTTCGAAGTTTTTAAAACTTAAAAGCCTAATAAAACTGTCCCACATCTGCAGAGGATCCCCGGCCCTGTAGCCGTTTT